GGTTTCGAGTCAAGGTCTGGTTAATGAGGATGACATTGACAACAAGCTATTAATGACTTTTTGGGTCCTGAAAGATATGGTCGGGTGTGCTGTCAAGGTTCATTCGTTACTCCCACTAAATATTTTGGATCCAGTTCATCTCAGTACATGTCATCACAGTCGCAGTCTTCCCAATTAGAAGTTAGTCGTTTAAAACAAAAGTTGGCTAAAATGGATCAACAAATGGCTAACATGAAAGCCGAATATGAAGCAAGGGAAGCAAAGAGAGAAACAACGAAAGCACATAGAGAAACACGACATCACAAAGAGAAGCAACGACAGCACAAAGAGAAGCAACATATAAGAAGAGATGTCAAGAATTTGAAAAACGACTCGATGCTATGATGCAGATGTTATAGAAAACGCAAACTCATAATCCACCATCATAGTCTCATTTATGTTATCAACAGTCTGTTAATGTTACTGAACCGTGTTTAACTAAATTGATATTATGTTAATGAAATCTTTTATTTATTATATTGGATTTGATGTTGCTTGTTATGTGATATAGAGTTTGATGTTATTGATGTCATGTTTGTTGGATAATGGAAAAGTTTAAAAAAATAGATTTGGGGTAATCGAAGAAAATATTTAAATTGTTTAAATTATGTGTTCTTTAGCGGCATTTGTAAAAAAATGCCACTAAATATCAAAAACAATACCAGCGTTTGTAAAAAAAAAAGGTCGTTATATACCATACCTTTTGTAGTGTTTGTATCCTAAAAACGTCGTTATATACCAGACCTTTTACGGCATTTATATGAAAAACGCCGTTATATATCACACTTTTAGCGGCATTTATATCCGACAAACGCCGCTATATCCCAAAGTTTTTACGACATTTGTATCCAAATAACACTGCTATATACCAGACCTGTTGCGACGTTTGTATCCAAAAAACGTCGTGAAATATCTTAACCTTTTGAGGCGTTTATAAAAACGATGTTATATACATACGCATTTTGCAGTGTTTTTTGGAAAAACATCGTTAAATCTCAACACCTATTGTGGCGTTTGTGGGAAAATGCCGCTAAATCTCAACACCTATTGCGATATTTGTGGAAAAACGCCGCTAAATCACAACATCTATTGTGGCATTTGTGGGACAAACGCCGCTAAATCTCAACACCTACTGTGGCGTTTGTTGGACAAACGCCACTATATCTCGTTACTTATTGCGGCGTTTTTTGTTATCAAACGCCGCAAACTTTAGCGGGTTATTTTTTCCAGTGCTTTTTGCGGCGTTTGTCATATCGTCGTAAGTGTTTTTTGCGGCACTTAAAAACACCGTTATAAGTAAAAAAAACCGCAAATGTATAGTTTTGTTGTAGTGTGGGGACAATTTCCACTAACATTTTCCTACCCCACCCACCCATGTACCACAAACAGATAACAAGAGACCAGATTTCAACTACTTTTCATTACTTCCGTTAGACATGAAATCAAGCACCAAAGCTTTAAGGGGTCGTTTGGTTCGCGTACCAAGGGGAATGATCTTTTATGAAATTGTATTCACATATTTGGTTTACAAAAAATATCATTACCATGTAATAATTTATTATCAATAATATCACTTTTGGATTAAATGTTGAGAATGTCATTATCTCAAATTTTTAGGTAATGAACAATTCACACTACTTTGGACATAAATACAATGTTTTATTCAAAATTATAAACTTAATAATAATAATATACAAAGAGTTTAATTTAGTAAAATATTGATAAATTTATGTAGTTAAAATTATTTTATATTTTTTATATTTAGTATATTAATTATTTTTATAATTTTATCGGTGAAAATATTGTTATGGTAAAAATATAATTATTTAAAATAATATTTAATTTTGAGTTATTAAAAAATAGATCTTATTCATTAAAAAAATAATATATTTGTCCACTTGAGATCACAACATCATTATTCATATTATATTATATTTTATATAAAAAAATATGATACTTATGAAAACTATTTAAAACTATAAGTTTAAATTATATTAATTATTTGTTAAATGTATTTTTTTCTTTAAACTTAGATAGTGTACTACTTAAAATATTTTTTTTATAAATTTTTATTTAAATATTTATAATTTAATATTAAAGTTTTACTTGTTAATATATATATATATATATATATATATATATATATATATATATATATATATATATATCATAAGGATAATTTGGTAAAATATGCACCCAAGTAATTTTATATTCCTCCAATCAAACACTGTAATCTTACATTCCTGCTAAGAAAACCAAACCAAACATGGTAATATAACATTCCCAGAGTAATGTTACATTTCGGTAATCTTATTACTAAGGTTGTGTTCGGTTAACGGAATGTAAGATTACTAGTTGGAATAAAAGATTATCAGGAAATAGGATTACTGGGAATGTTGTATTTTGTGTTTGGTTGGTTTAGCAGGAATGTAAGATTACCGTGTTTGGTTAAAGGAATAAAAGATTATTGGAATGTATATTTTACCAAATTGTCCTTATTATATATTCGATTTTTTTAAAAGTTGAATTATACTATAATTTTACTATAATTAATTTATATATTTTCTTTAAAAAAATTAAATTCATAAAATTTATATACTTTTTTTACAAAATTGAAAAGATAAATAGGTTTAATGAAAGGGTAAAATTTTATTTTAACTCCTGAACTTCATATAAAATTTTAATTATATATTTTTTTGTAAATCTAAAATAGTTTAAGGATAAATTTAATTTAACCTTTGTAGAATTTTTATTATTCAACGACAGAATAATGATATTTTTGAAGAAAAAAAATTAAGGACATTTTAGTCTAAAACGCCGGTAATCCAACAATACCTAAGGGAAGAGGTAATCACATTCCCGGTAATATACCCCAAAAAATCCACTATTGGTAATAAAAGATTATCGAGAATAGGATTACCGGCCAACCAAACGGGGAATGAGGATTTCATTCCCCACGATAATCCCATGTCTTGAACCAAACGGCCCCTAGAGGTAATCTTACATACCCTAAACGCACAAACAATGAATTTGATAAAATTTCGATGAATTATATTGAGCATAGTTTCACATTCAATGTTAAATCTCCTAAAAGCTCCTTCAATCTACAAATAGGAGACTTTTAATGCTACTGCCATTTCATCTGAAGCCTTTCCTAATATACATATCTAATATTCCCTGATTCAAGCAGATTGTTGTCCTCAATTCCAATGGTTGTTAACCTGTGTTTATAACACTGATTCATTCTTCGCAAACCATCAAACTTCAATCAATGCAGATAAAAATAGAAAAGGCAGCATCGCATTAGTGAGTTTTCTGCTATCGTACACTACGGCTCCTATAGGATAACTTCAGACGCATAACTTGCAGCAAACAACTTCAACAAAAACTACAACCAAACCCAAAATACTACCAATCGATTTTAACATACTGCATTAAAAGAGAAGATATAAATCAGACCTCACAAGATTACCACTAAGCTTTAAAAAATATTCTTCTAAGCATTCACGAGCAATCCTATACTCCACAGAGCTTCTGAATAAGTAATAAACCATATATTTTTACCACGCAGTTCTTGAAAATACGACTCAGGCCCTTCCACTTCACTATTGGAATTCTCTCTATTATCAATTACCAAATTCTGGTCTTAAAATTATTTAGCCTGTCAACCATAACAACCCATTCTGACTTGTTTTTATGCGGCCTATCCCCAGATAAATTTTTCGATCCAAGCGTGCCATCAGGGAAAGTCAAATTTGTCTTGAATCCCATACATTGAATATCTTCCATTGCTCGAGCCGAAAACTGAGATGCATTCTCCCTGAATAAATTATTTGCCTCCCCAAGCTCTTCCTCCTCGTTCCTTCCCGATTCAACAAGATCACCTGTCTCTGGCAGCTCATATCTATTGGACATGCCTTTAATTCCTTTTGGCAAGTCACAAACAATATGTTCCTCGTTAGCTTTAAACCCCTCTGGTGTTGTTGCTTCGTTTATAGTAAAAACTTTTTTGGGTTTACATCCCAATAATTATGCTCACCGATTTGACTGTCACCTACATCTCTTATTATGTTTTCATCATTAATGTTTTTTTCCCATCGAAAGTAGCCTCCATTAATCTCCTGCACCTCCACTCGTTCCATCCTTGATTTCAATCTGTTCCGATCCATTATTCTTCCCCTATATTTAGCTACTCCCATCTCTAACTTGTTTCCGTAAACCGGTTACCCATTTACAGTGCCGTGGCTGGGGCGGTACCCAAAAAAATATATCTATAGTGTCGTTTCTCAATAAACGCCACTAGATAGACCTATTGTGACGTTTTTAAAAAATAAAACGTTATTATTATTGCGGTTTTATTGAGAAAACGCCACTATAGATGGATCTATTGTGGCGTTTATCAAAAAACGCCACTATTATACCCAAAATTGAATATATCTAAAAAAATAGGGGTCTTTATAAGAATTTGTACAGGATCCCTGAAAACCTAGCCACGGCCCTGCCCATTTAATATCTCTATTGCACTTCCTGCATATACTTCCTTATCGAATCTAATGAAACCGAACCTTCTACCCCTTCGTTTCAATTTACCAGCAATGTAAGCGTCCACCACGTTCTCATGTCGTGCAAACATGTGCCATAGCCCTTGCCAATGAAGGAGCTTCGGTAGATTATCCACAAAGAGAGTGACTGCCTGTATATTCCCATTCTGCCACTTTCCGTTCACCACGCCATTCTTCTGCCATCTTTTTCCTGTTTCTCCGCCTGAGACCGAGTTGCTGGTTTCTCCATTCAGCAAGACCTATCTAAGTTTTATATTCCCATTTTGAGTTCATGAAGAGATCAATCTACTTCTTTTATTATTATTATTATTACAAAAGTTATACTTAGTCCCTAATCCATAGAAATGTTTACATGTCTAAAAAGTTACTGTTTCAGTAAGTTGATATAATCTTGTGGTGATGAACAGGTCTTACAAGGACAAACATTCTTCATATGCTCCAGTAAAAGGGTTACGTTATGACGGGATTTACCGAGTTGAAAAATGCTGGCGAACAGTTGGAGTTCAAGTATTTACAAAATCCAACATTCTTATATTTCCAATTTGGTTCTTCTACAAATATAAACATATCTTGAATTTAACGATGAACGCTTCTCTTTGCAGGGCTTCAAGCTCTGCCGATATTTATTTGTTAGGTGTGACAATAATCCTGCTCCATGGACCAGGTTCGTTCCTTGCTTCTACTTTATCTGCAGATATAATTGTTTGATCATATATGTTTCTTTTCATTTAGTTTCTGATCAGATATTAATTCAAATTCTAATTGATAATTATTAGATTTTATTGTAATTTTAGTAGTTAGTTATTACTTGATAATAAGTTTAATTTAGAGTTTATCCTGTAGAGATGAATATAGTAAGGATATTGAAAGAGTAATTTTGGATACTCTGAATTTTAGTATATATATTAGATTTTAACATATATATATATATATATATATATATATATATATATATATGATATATTACGCATTTGAATCTTCTTGATCCTTACATTTATAATAAATTATTGTTTTTTTCCTCATAAAAAAGGTAGATAAGGCTGAAATTTCTACATGGAATACATAGTGAAGTGTTTTACTTTTATCGATGTCTTATTTTATGTTGATATATTTTTTATTATTTTTCGGCTTACGAATTCTGAACATTTACCTTCCCTCCACTGTAGTGACATGTCTGGCGATTTTCCTAGACCTTTGCCGGTGATTAAAGAGCTTGAAAAGGCATTCGATATAACCAAGGGAAAAGAAAGCCCGGCGTGGGACTTTGATGTCAGTATATATATGCATGCATACATACATACAGATATATCATGTGTGTGTAGAATTCACATGCATGGTTTTGTTTGTCACCTCGGGTTATAATTTTTGTTTTTCAGGACGTTGATGGCTGCTGGAAGTGGATGAAACCACCACCAATGATCAAGCAAAAAGAAAATACCGGCGGTTCTGATTCCCGGAAGATGCCAAGGAGCAGCACTGTAGTCAAGCAAGCACTGAACGTAGCCGCTAGGAAGAGGCTTCAAAAGGGTTAATTTTTTACTGCCTTCAAGTTTAACAATTAAGCAATTATATATCTCAAAGTTTAGGCTTTTGAATGGCAAATAAACCATTTTTTGTTGTAGAATTTGGTTGTGGGATCTGTGAGCAAGTGCTGGGTATGCCAGTAACAACACCTTGTGGTCATAATTTTTGCATGTCATGCTTAGAAGCTGCATTTTCTGGGAAGTCACTTCTGAAGGCTTCAAAGCAAAGGAAAGTTGATGCTGCCGACAACGAGGGTTGAACAAGATGTTCAAGATCATCAAACAATTTAATAAATTTTCGTATATTTCCAGTTAAAACTGCCTTCAACATTCTAATAATCACAGTTGGAGAACACCTGATCTGTGACTCTTTGTTAGATTTTCAGTTTTAAACAATTCCAATGGCATGGGCCATTGAAGTTTGTCAGCTCTATTGCTTTTCTTGAAGCAAGCTTGCCAACATCTGGAATGTCTCCGTTTTTAAATGAATCTTGGATGCAGTGCACGAATAAAAACTATTTTTTATGATTAATTTTCGAATAATTTTGAAAATATCATGATTAGATAAATAAAATTGGATTTTAGTTAAATATTGTATTTTAATTCTAAGTTGCTCGAGTTGATTTGAATTAATAGTTTAGATTCTAAATTTGAATGCGATTTGAATTTTTAAAACTTTAAATTAGGTGTGCGATGCAGGTCGGTTCGGATTAGTAGGGAGAAGCCTTGGAACCGGGAGGACAACAAAATTTTTTGAATAAATATTTAATGATAGAGTGACATATTTATAATAATATTTTAATTGAATGACCTGCTTATAATTATTAGAAAAAGAGTGTCGTGTTTGTTACCAACAATATAATTAAATGACCTTAGTTGTAGTTTACCCTAGTAGTTATCAATAATTAAAAGCTCAAAATTTTCTCATCTCGTATTAAAAACCAAAATCTCAAAACGGCATAGTTTTAATTGGAAACCCAGATCATTATAAATGGCCCAAGTTAATCGACTTGTTGGTTAACGAAACATAGCCCAACTTTGTTTCTCAAAAGTTTCTTATTTTCATCCATGCCCTTCAAAAACCCAAATAAACTATAGGGTAAATCTAAACTATTAGTTTTAATTTTAATATCTAAATTTTTTTATTTTTCTGAAATTATAAGTTTAATTTTTATTTTATTTTAATACTCTTCCGTTAAAAAATTTAGTTTTTGTTTCATTTTAGTAACTGTTCAAAATTTAACGTTTAGGTACTGAAACGATCAAAACTGATAATTTAGATACTAAACGTATTAAGATTTTACGATGGTACTAAAATGAAATGAAAATTAAACGTTAAACATGATTTTGAAAAAAAATAAAAGTTTAGATACGGATCAAAACTAATAGTTTGAGGATGAAATGTGTAGTTTACCCTAAACTATAAACTAAAACCCCTCACCATTTCTCCCTTTCAAAAACCCTAATAAGCTTTAAACTAAAACCCCTCACCATTTCTCCCCTTCCAATTTCTAATACCACGTCTCCTTCTGTAAGTGGTAGTATCTCCCTCTTCTTCATATGCTATTTCATGAATTTTCCCCTAAATTTTCTTAACATTTTAGTATCATTTAACATTATTGATGTTTTTGCAGTTTGTCTTTGGGGATACCGAATTATCGTCAACAGTAACCTTAAATCTTCAGCTATGGTAAATGAATCTGAACCCCGATTTTTTATTTCCTATATTTTTTCTTGAATTTGTTTACTTTATTGGTTTTCGTATTAAAATTTTCACTGAAATATGTCATTTTTCAGATGTAATAATGTGGTCTAATAGTTTTAAACAAATTAGGATTCCTTTTGGTGATATTTTGTTTGAAAAAAACCTTATTTATTATGCTGAGAATGTTGGGAAAATAAGAAAAGTTGTGTTCTGTTGGGAGCACTTGTTCATGTTCTCCAAGTGGTATCTACAGAAACTTTTTGCATCTAGGGAATGTTGTTTGATGTCTGTATTTTGGACGTCTCTGAAACAAGCTCATCGTAAAACATGCAGAAAAATCAGCGAGAGAGATTAAGAAAGCAAAGAACCAGAAGAAAGTGGAAGAAATTCCAGAATTCCATTAAGATTTGTGCATAAGAGAATCCTAATCAGTTACACCGAGTATACCTCAGAACTGAAACGACACTGTTTCATAGTACCCCTAAAATGATGGTGTATAAACAGACAAAACTAAATAAAACGGTTCGTTTTGTTAATTCTAAAAACAATGTGTATTAGTCTCCTTGTGCATGACATGTTGAAATTTCTTTTGTAGTTCTCATCTTATATGTGCATATTGATATCATGCTTGCTTGAGCTGTGTCGTTAAGAACCCATGATTTCAAGCAATTCTTGGTAAGATGGATACAAGTTTTTGGGTGCAAAGATATTAGTTTTTTCCCCAATCTCATGTGGGGAACATTTTTATCGGTAATGCATTCTAGGCATCAAGTTATCAATCTTGATTTAGGGACTTGAAGAGTATAGGGTATAATTGCTTATCATGTTTCCTCTAGGATGGATGAGGGCTGTAAACGAGCCGAGTCAAGCTCGAGTATTTCTGAGCTCGACTCAAAAACTCTAAAATGGAGTTAGACTCGGCTCGAAAACTCGCGAGCCTAAAATTTTCAAGCTCAACTCGAACTCGAAATCATGAATTGAAGCTCGAAAAAGTCGAAATAAAAAAATATAGAACTTAATTAGTTTGGTTGAAACTCAAACTCGAACTTGAATCTTAAGTACATGAAAACCTTCTACTACATTTTAAAAAAAAATAAACACAAAAATGTTAATATTATTAAAAAAATAAAATTTTAATATATAATTTTTCTGGTTGCTCGCAACATTTTCGAGTCAAGTATCAAGTGGCTCGTTTCGACTCGTCAAAAACTCAAGTCGAGTATTTATCGAGCGTTGACCGAGTCAATCTTGAGTAGTTCGCGATCTTCTCGTCTCATTTATAGCCTTAGGATGGACTGAGCTTATCTTTTATGTTCTCATTTTGGTAGTTTGGAGCAGCTTATCACATTATTCTAGATGACGAAATAGTTTGCTGAAATTTGAAAACCTTATGATGGTATATATAATACTTGTATTTTTGTCTCTAAATTTTGTCACCTCACCTATTGAAATAGCTTGCTGAAAACCTTATGATGGTATGTAAAACTGTTGATTTTTTGCCCTATATTGCTTACCTTCAATGGCTCTAGTATGTGTAGTATAGTATGCGCTTTGCTTATTCAAACTCGGAAACTAAAATAACTGAAAAATGCTATCAGACAGTTGATTAATTGTTCATGTATTTGTACAGGCCGCAAGAATTCTTGCGAACTTGATTGTTATGGGCTCTGGGATATTGGGAAGGGCTCTATTTCAGGCATACCGTCAGGCTCTTACAAGTATGTCTTTCTTTCGTCAAGGCTTGGAGTTGGAACTTTTCTGTTTTTTTTTCTAAAAGAACAAAAAATAATTTTTAGAATATTGTATTTTACAAAATTTGTATACTATATTTTAAATCCTTGAATTGACCATTACGGGTTTGTGCTTGATTTCAGATGCCTCGAAATCTGGTGTTGCTCAAGAAACAATGCAGAACATCAGGAGAGGAAGCAAAATTATGGCTGAACCAGAGGCAAGGCAGATTTTAGGCGTGGCAGAGCATTCATCATGGGAGGAAGTCTTGAAGGTTTGCTAGACAGTTTACCTATCATCCTCTGATATTATACCATCCTTTTTATGAAGTTTTGAGGAAAGATTTTCCATGAGCTATGTGCAGAAATACGACAACTTATTCGAGCAGAATGCTAAGAACGGGAGCTTTTACCTTCAGTCAAAGGTTCATCGAGCTAAAGAATGTTTAGAAGCAGTTAACCAAAAGGAAGCTCAGGGAACTCCAGATGTATAATTTGGTGGAACGTGTAAGACCCGCACCGATCAATCAATTCCTTTAATTGAAAATCCTTTTGAATCTCCATGAGCTCATAGAAATACTGCTTGTGTTAACACTATCTATAGCTACCATTTACTATAATCCAATTAAATCAAATTATACCTATAACTTTGAACTCCATGGAAGTCAGATTGGCAGTGTGCTGAGTTTATTTCATGACAGCTGTATGTGGAGAAAAATATGCTGATGGCACATGATGAACATGCTCTACAATATTCCCTACATAACATTTACTTTTAATAATAATTCTAGCACTGTTTCTGTACAATTTCCTTAATTTAGTTGAAAGGGGTATAGTGTATTGAAGATGATTTTATGTGGGTTTATAGGTGGTTACCCTACTTTGGTATGTTGGAAGGCTTAATGAAAACTCTTTGATCATGTACGAAAGTGAAAGGCTTTGTTCCTGGTGACTTATTACTCTTGCTAAGTTAGGTTTGGTCTGGATGGGGACATTTCTTTTGTTTAATATTCATCTATAATTCCTTCAATATTCTATGATTGTTGGTGGTATTTTAGGACAAGGGTTTTGGGCCTACAAAAGTATAAAACCAAGGAGTCGGATTTAGTGCTTCTGTTACACTTAAATCGGCAAGTGTTTGAATAAAAAGAGTGCAAGACACAGGGCCGGGCCGGGATGGTCCTGACTATTTTTAAACTCGAGACGAAAATAAAAAATGAGCCCCTAATATAAAAAAATTAAGAAATGTGTAATATAAAAATTATATTAGATTTTTTATTAAATTTAAAAAATAGTAATTCATTACAATATAAAAGATGTCAAAAAATATATTTAAGAATACAAATACTTATAAAAAATATTATATTAGATCATTTTTTATGCAAAACCATTGATGATAGTATCAACATCAATGCTCTCCAATATATTTTTCTCAATACATAACACAACATTTGAAAATAAAATAACGAACTTATCTAGAATTTGAAAATATATAAAATTAAAAGAAAGAATTTGAAAATGTGATCTACCTAGAATTTTAAGAACAATCTTCAATATGGTTCAAGCACCATAATTCTAATAAACAATTGTGACTTTACGTGTGAGAGAAATATGATAAATTAAAAAATGAGAATAATAATTTTCAGATGAATCGTGAAACATGAAAGAGAAAAGAAGCATGCTAATTATACTTAAATATTTTCCTCCATTAAGTTTTGAAAAAAAATTAATGTTAATAATTTTTTTTATTGATATGAAAAATCAGAAAGAGATTTGGTGAATTGATAGTGAGAATTCGAAAAGACCAAAATTAAAGAGTTCAATTGATTTTTTTTTTGAATTTTGAGAAAGAAATATTAGATTAGAATTTTATGGAAGAACAATTTATTAATGTCAATATAAAATTCAATAAAGATAATTGACATCTTAATAAATTTATGGCCCCATTATTTTATTGAGTAAATTATGTGTTTAGCGTCTAAATTATCAGTTTTGGTCTGTTTTAGTACCTAAACTTTCAATTTTTTCAAAACCATACATAAAGTTTAGTTTTTGTTTCATTTTAGTACCCGCCGTTAAAAACTTTAGTTTTTTATTTCATTTTTGTACACATTCAAAATTTAACGTTAAGTTTTTTTTTTTTGAAATTTTATGTACTAAAACAAACCAAAATTGATAGTTAGGTACTAAACGCGTTAAATTTTTAACGACGAATATTAAAATGAAATGAAAACTAAACGTTAGATATGATTTTGAAAAAAATTAAAAGTTTAAGTACCAAAATGTATCAGAACTAATAGTTTATATACTAAATGAATAGATTACTCTATTTAATTTTATAATTTTTTAAATTATTATCAGAAAAATAAAAAAATATTGTACTAATTTTTTTTATTTTGTGGGCCTGGGCGGGCGCCCATCCTGCCCTGGCAAGACGAAGAAGTAAACAGCCGAAGAGAACAGGTCTTATGGAGAGATTCAATGCACTTTCTTTCTTTCTAACGTGTGGACCTTCAGGCCTGTTTAGGGTTAAGTTTGTTGTGCATCTCTAATATTAGTATTTTACTTATGGTTTATTTTGGTCACTAAAATTTAAAATGTTAAATTTTGGTCATTAAAGTTATCAACAAATAAAAAAATGTTCAGTATTCAATTTGACCCTTAAACTATAATTAAAACATCAATTTAGTCCTTAAAGTTTTTAACCCAAAAATATTTTAAATATGTCTACTTTTTCTACTGTTCCATCAACTCTCACTAGAGGTGAGAAAGATTTGACCTCGAATTTTTTTTCTTTCAATTTTGAGTTAGTTGAGTTGAGTTATTCAAGTCTACTTGATTTATCAATGTGATTTTTGAGTTCGAGTTGAGTTGCAATTTTGAAAATTTTAAAATTTTAAAATTTGACTAAGTATTTTGATAGTTTTATGATTTAGTCTAATTTCATTATTTCTTCAATTCTTCTTTTATTTTAAGTATTTTTTTATCAAATTTAAATTGCATGCTTCTGAACCATTGTAGAATGTATATGTACTTTTAATTCTTATGTTTGATAAAAAATATTAATTTAGTCCGTCATCTTTTTATAATTTTCTTATTTATTGAATTCATCTTTTTTAAGTCTGTTTTCCTTTTGTTAAATTTGAATCGCATGCTCATATATCATACTAAAATATTTATGCAACTTCAATTCTTACTTTTTTACTAAAAATGTACCATCTTTTTTATTTCGTCTCTTAACTTTGCATTTTACTCGATTTGGTCTTTTGACTACAATTGTTTGCAAATTTTTCTTTCCATCAATTCTTTGATTCTTTATACTCTCATCAATATTTTCACCCTCGAATAATTTTTAAATATAATATTATGAATATATTTTATATTTTTTTGGATAAGAAATTTTAATATATTATCCAATAAGACAACCTAAGTTGCAACAAATATAACCAACAACCAGTACCTTATAAAATACCCCAGAATATAACTGCAAATTGACCCTGTTATCAGTATCAATACCCCGACCATTCAATTTGACACGAATAATCTCTTTGACATAATCCAAAGTATCATCAATCGAATGACTAACACCTCTAAACAATATGCTATTACACTCCTCTGAAATACGATACAAAATCAAAGTCCAAGCCAACTGAAGAATACGAACCAAAAGAGACTTACCCCTCGTATTCACAACAACCCAACCAAGCATATCCTCCCAGCACAGAGGCCTATAAAGCAATCTACAAAGAAGCATGACCCTCCCCCCAAGCACACCTAAATAAACACAACCAGAAAATAAGTGGACTCTTGACTCACCAGCACAATTATAAAAATACAGACATCATCAACAGCAATCAAGTATGGTCATCCAAGTAATAATGGAATGTTTAGGGATGTGAAAGGAAAACTAGATAAGTCTGTCATCTTACCTTCTTTCAGCTACCCTTAATGTTCTCTCAAATCCACCTACAGTTAACACGAGACCAGGGGATATCAGGAACAAATAACCACTTAGGCTCATCCCTCAACTTAAACAGCCTCTTTAGGATCCGTTAAAGTGAGCCTTACAATTAATATATTTTATAATTTTAGATTGTATTTGATATATTAAATAGCATTATATTGTGAAAAGAATATATATATATATATATGGTTTGAGAAAGTCAAAAAAATTAGAACAAATCCTTATCATGATACTACAAATAATTATAATAAAATTAGTATAGAAACTTGAATAACTCGACTCAAATTTCTTAAACTCGATTCGACTCGAAAAAATTTCAAGTTAAGTTCGAGTTATAAATTTTTGATTCAATTCGAATCGATCAAATACTCATCCTTAACTTCACCACTCAACCACCAACGATTCATTTTCGTTTTTTTTTTACTTTCTTATTGTTATTTTAATGTGGGGATTTCCGGTTGGGATATTGTAGGAGTATAGTCAAAAAATAGTAAAGGAACCTCAATACTGTTATTCTAACGAAGACTCTTACAAGTATATGGATATTTTTTAGTATAAGAGGTTTCTACTTGGGAGATTGTACAAGTATACAGTCCAGAAACAGTATGGCTTGGTCAAATTGTAGATCCGCTCCAAGGATCATATATGCATAATAACTTTAAAGGCAATTCACCGCATGACTTCACAGACCAGCGATTACGGCCGACCTGAAGTGCTTGAGATGTGACACTCACAATTGCTTTCAATTCTTGGAAAATATCAATCAAGCCAGCGAAAATTTAAAAACTTTTGGTGGGGATAAAGAAACATGAACTTCTCTGTAAATTTTAATATTAATATAGTATATCATTGTATCAACATCATAACGATTAATGCCATTTTTTTAATCAAATAATTATATTAATTTTTAATTTAAAAATTATATTAAAAAATAAATTTAGAAGTCATATTAATTATTTTGTTAAACTACTCAAATGATCACTTAACTATGATATTGATATCGATATGATTACCGTAACTTCAATTTTAACAATATGACCTGCTATAAACAAAAGATCAAAGGAACAATCAAGTCAACAATTAGAACCATTACAACTGTGTAAGGGAACATGTGTAAAGAAGGAGCCAAATACATTGAGTGAATTCGCCTATTTCGGCCTAGTTATTTAGCTTTATATAGAAAAGGGGTGTAACATAATGGGATATCGAAAATTGTTATTAAAACACTCTCCTCTTATTTATTCTTCTACTTATTTCTCTCTCTCTCAAATTTCTCTACTTCTTTATTTGAAATTGCATAATAATTTATAACATGACCACGTATATATAAAAGGTGAATTTACTTGAGATTAAAATTTTTGAATAACATAAAATTTATTACACTAAAATGAATTAAATAAATTTATGTTAAAATTTAAGCTCTCGGATCTTATAACAATAGTTTTATAAGGCTAAAAGTTTTACTTTACTACCAGAAATTTCTTCATCTAGCTTTTATCTCAAAACATCCAAAAATTGCCAACATTATTAAATTATGAGCAACTTTTCATCTTTAACAGTCAAAATGCCACCAACATAATTCAGCACGAGTAACTATTTAGAAAAGAATTTACAAGTTACAACAATTTATTTTAGTCAGACCAACAATAATTTACATGGCAACAACAGACAACATCAAATAGCATTGCATCAATTCAGCAAGCGTTGTTGCATCAATTCAGCATTCAACATTTCTGCATTTAACAAGCATCCAGTCAGTGGTAAAGCCAAAGGGAATACAATAGCCAAAAGTCTCAAACATTTCTGACTTTAGCAAACCTTTATAAAATCAAGAATTCAACAAACATTTCAAAATCAAGTAATATCAAGCAGAATCATGACATAATCATTCACAAGAAACAACCAAACATTATGCTTGTTGTAAGGTGCCCTACAAAAAACAGAATCATTAATAAACAATTTGAAAATTTAATTAAATAAACATAATAAATAAATAAAAATAAAGTTACCTTTAAAGGGAAGAAACAAGACAGAATCATTCATAAACCAATTTTAATGTATTTACTTACTGTAAAACACCCTACAAAAGTAAAAATAAACTCATTAATAAGTAATTCGAAATATTAATGAAATTAAAATAAAAAATAAAGTAAATAATATAATTACCTTTAAAGAGAAGAATCATTAACTACAGTAAGATAATCTTCGTCCCTTTCCTCCAGTTCAAAACCATACAACCAATTACGAGTTGTTACAAAAATCTCAACATTTTCAGGTAAGAGTTTAGTTCTCAACTTGTTCAAAATTCGACTCCCTATACTTAAGGACGATTCATATGCAATTGAAGTAATTGGAATGACCAATATACCTCTCGCCATGCGAGAGAATAACAGATAAGAAATACTTTGATTTTTCCAATACTCCAAAATATCAAACTTAGTATCTCCAATACGAGTGACAATGGGCAAACTGATGTAGGAGTCAACATCTGATCATCCATTCCTTGAAGCATCTAAATTGGCATCAAAGTTCTGAAAAAATAAAAAATTAAATTATGAAAAACAGAATAAAATAAATTAAAATAAATGAAATTAATATCAAATTCTAAATACTAACCTGAAATAGATCATATTTTTTAAATGATTGAGGGGAACTTGACCCACTTCTCTATAAAGATATGTTACTTTGGACCGAAAAAGAAAAAATGCAAGGTGTATTTTTTAATAAAATATATATAACTAAAGAAACTCATTATATATAACACTTACCCTTCGTTGAACCTCATCCTCTACATAAAGAACATTGTACAACTTCTTCAGAAGTTATAATTTATATCGTTGATCAAGCAAAACAACAAAAGATAGAATCATTGAGTGATCAACCAATATTTCTCATATATTTCAAGCATGGGTTTTGCCATTGCAGAAATGCCTTCACAAGGATCATCGTGAGCATCACACAACAACATTTCAATTGTAACAACATTAGTCAAGTACAACTTAGAAGTCAGATGCTTAGATCTAGAGAACATAGTAGAAATTTCATAAAATGATTTGAGAAAATCACAAATTGTTTAAACAATTTCCCACTCATGATCACTAATCATATCTAGGGGTGTAAACGAGCTGAGTCGAGCTCGAGTATTGCCGAGCTCGACTCGAAATCAAAAACTTTAAATGTAAGCTCGGCTCGTAATAGTAATTTCATAAAATGATTTGAGAAAATCACAAATTGTTTGAACAATTTCCCACTCATGATCACTAATCATATCTAGGGGTGTAAATGAGCCGAGTCGAGCTCGAAACTTTAAATGTAAGCTCGACTCGACTCGAAAACTCGCGAGCCTAAAATTTTCAAGCTCGAACTCGAAAAATAATATTGAAACTTGACTCAAACTCGAAAAGGCTCAAACTCAAAAAAAATTCAAGAGCTCGATTGAAGCTCGAGACTCAAGCTCAAATTTGAGCTCGAATAAAGCTCGAATTTAAGCTTGATCTACTATGAAAGGTTCTCACCCTCAAAAATAAATTTAATATCGTATGAGCTATTAGCCTACATATCAGATATTAAGCTAATAAACACATACTACTCTTGATCTTAGCCAAAAGGCCGAGAAAGATATACTTAAGTTCTTAACACAAGCGTTTAGTCCAGTCCTTTTATAACTGCTCTCTAGCGCTCTAACTCTCTTCAGCGCCCGGTGTGGGATATAAATTCAAAAGGCTTTGGACTAACAAGGAGCCTTTATCTCTTCTCTTTATCTCTACCGAGTCCACTATATTACTCAGTCTTTGATATTGCTCTTGTCTTCTCCGTCGACCATGATCCGCTTCTTGAAATATTCGAACTCGAATATTACCCACCACTACCAGCCTGTTCGACTCATCAGTTACTCAAAATTATCGTCATTTCTCTCGCTTTGCAGGGGATGTTGGCAATGATGATGATCTTCAACACCCAGGGTTATGGAAATCGATGGAGGGTATCCATCGTTGCTATGCCAATTACATACCTTTGTGGCTTCGTCCCCCATTAGCTTCTTGGAGAGAGCTACAAAGGTTTACAGAGACAAACATCGCTTGTTTATGGTTGTTAACTTCCTAAAAAGGCTACTTTTAAGGCCTTTTTCACTTGAGTTATTGTTTGTTTAAAAGTTCATTTTAGGCATTTTAAGATCATGTAGTTGCATATAGTTGCATTTGTGGTGGTAGTGCTATTTTATTTCTTAATGATGATGCTTGAGGGAAAGATGCAATTTGTCTATAATGTGCAGGAATAACAAGCAAAAAGGATTCGTTGGGAAGTAATGCCGCGCATCACACGTTGCTGAAGCAGATTGAAATGCCTTGGCATTTATGGCGTAGAAAACGACAAAAATATATAGTTGTATGAGGACAGCTGGCACTGCACGTGGAATGATTGCTGTAGCCACCTTCTAAAGACTAAGGCCACCTGGATAATTAAGTTCATGCTTATGGTGTGATTCTAGGGGTATGAGGGGTATTTCACACCTAACAACCTAATCATTACCCCTGGATCCTTTTATTATAATGACACCTAAAGGGAGAGAAAAGAGGAGATGTGAAGAGGCACACACATAGAGCAGAAAAAAATCAGATTTTTATTTCCTTTTCCTTTTCTTTTTCCTTGGGTTTTCCTCCATTGATTAAGCTCCAAGGAGTGGCGAGCTAGGTGTCGAGAGGAGCTAGCGAGCTAAGGTGATTCGTGGTGGTCGAGGAGACCTCCGATGGCGCGTCGAAGGCTTCTTCTCACTTCCCTTTTTGCTACTATTTTTCGATTTATTTATGGGTTGTTGGAACGAATATTTGCATGACTTTGTGTTTGGATATTTCGAACCCCACCATGAACTAACTTATTTGGTGGTGGTTGATTTAATGGATGTTTAGACTTTATTTTGATGATATATTTGAGTTTATTTTGGTTCTTTATTTGCTTTGATTATGAATGCTTTACTATCTAGGCTTGTAAGAGGCATGAAAATGTCCATTTCTTAGATGAAGTTTAGGTATTCGAGAGAAACCTAAGCTAGAAATACTTGTAAGTATTCGAGAGAACCGCAAGATAAGATCCTCATAAGCAATGGGTTATAGTATTTCCAAGGGGCTTTGAACCGGCCTAGGGATATTACAACCTAATCCCTTAGATCTTGGGAGAGACTAGTATAGGATTTCAACGACTAAAAAGGGTGTTTTTATCAATAGGGTAGGCTAGCCAACATCGTTGAGTGAGAGCATATGCCTTGGCATCCTATTCTGTTAGGTTCCTTTGAGAACATTTTAGGAAAGCCTTGTCGAGCAAGTAAAGACTAGATAACTTAGAAATACCTGATAAATAAGTTTAGCATCCTTAGATCAATCCCTACCATTCATTCCATTGGAAGCTTGTTAGGTGAGGATTATCTTCTTTTCATTTCATTTACTGTTATTTACCATATTTCATTGCCTCGACATTACATCATTTTCAACACTAAACATCTTATCTTGCCATTACATTTCCATCTGCTACACCATCAGACCATTCATCTACATCCACCTTCATACACATTTTCATTTTGTCGTGACATTTTTATATATAAAACCTAACTATACATAGATAGATTAGTGCTCAGCTTTGGTTAGACTTTTGTAATTTCACGCAACCCCTGTGGAGACGATACTCACTCATCACTGTATTACTTGAGCGATTGTGTATACTTGCACATTATTTGCGTATATTTTATAGTACTCACACATGCGGACAAGGTATTGGCGTCATTGTTGGGGATTGGTAGCCTAAAGTTATTTAGTTTTGCCAGAGCATTTTATTTTATTTTGCATTTTTATTTGTGTATAGTTTACTTGATATTTTTATTTAATTTTTCAGTTTATCTAGTGTATGACTAGAAGAAATTCTGAAGAGCCTTTAGAATCGATAGAACCTGAGATTGAAAGACTCTTTACACAAAGGAGACGAGCACAACGCGTTAAGGAAATATGTATCAGATTGGAAACCAAGGCATTGGTCAGGATGACGAAAATCAGAATGCCGCGACATTAGGCAATGTTGAACCTACTGGTAGGCCGCGTGTTATTCGTGATCACTTAAATCCGATGTTGGATGATCTGAATCCTGGGATTATGGCACCCGACATTCAAGCTGCACATTTCGAGCTGAAACCAGTCATGTTTAACATGTTGAATTCTATTGGGCAGTTTGGGGGTATGCCAAATAAAGATGCCAGGCAACACATTCGTAATTTTCTAGAAGTTTGTGATTCTTTTCACCAAGAGGAGTAGATGAGGATTTTTCTGAAGTTAAAGTTGTTCCCTATTCATTGGCGTAATCGAGCAAGGGCTTGGTTGAGTGGTGTACCAGTCGGTTCGATGAATCGTGGGCTGATCTTTGCAAGAGTTTCTTATTGAGGTACAACCCACCGAACATGAATACGCAGCTAAGGAATGAAATATCATCTTTTTGCCAGGGCGACGACGAATCCATGTACGAGTGTTGGGATCGTTATAAGAGTTTACTTCGAAAGTGTTCAAATCATGATTTTCACGATTTGACTCAAGTAGTCATGTTCTATAATGAGTCAATGCACCCACAAGGATGTTATTGGATGCCTCGGCAAATGGGACATTGCTGGATAAATCACCTACTGAGGCGTTTGCTATCTTAGAGAGAATTGCCAATAATGATTATCAGTTTCATTCCTCAAGACTTGGGAGTGGGAGGAGAGCACCTGGAGCATTTGAGTTAGATACCAAGGATTCGGTGTCCGCTCAACTCTCAACTATCACCAATATGCTGAAAAACTTACAACGTTCTACTGAGGTGAAGGAAGATAAAGCAACTAGCTTGGCATGTCTGTTCTGACAAGGCAATCATCATGAGAGCGAATGCCTGAGCAATCATGAGTCCGTCAACTTTGTAGGCAATTACAATCGAGGCAACAACAATCCTTACTTAACACTTATAATACTGGATGGCGTCAGCACCCCAATTTCTCATGGGGAAATCAAGGAGCCCACAATGCTAATCAACCTACTCGGCAGCAGACACGATGAGCCTCAAGGTTACCAAAATGCTATGTCATGGTATAATGCTAACAAATGAGCTTCAACTTCAGCAAACATGAGTTCCTTGGAAGCTACAATTCAAGTGTTCATATCTACTACAAAGACAATGTTGCAAGATCATTCTACTTCAATTAAAAATCAAGGAGTTTTACTTCATAGTCAAGGCGCCTTACTTCAAAGCCATAGCTCGTCTTTGAGAGATTTGGAAGGTCAAGTTGGTCAGATTACTACGGCATTGCAAGATCGTCAGCAAGGACGTTTGCCAAGTGATACTGAAGTCACTAAAGGGCCTGGAAAAGAGCAGTGCAATGTGTTAACTCTTAGGAGTGGAACACAAATCAATCAACAAGTCAAGGCTAGTGCACCACAACATGATGACTCTACTCCCAGTACTGAAAGTGGTGAAACTGAATTGCATGATGATACCATTACTGAGAAGGACAAGGAGAAGGGTTCTACTGATGATTCAACTAAGGCACTAGATTTTGATGCCAAGGAAAAAACAATTCCTACTACTACAGTTAAGGAAGCGAGACCTCCATCACCCTTCCCGTAAAAATTGAAGAAGAATAGTGATGAAGTTTAGTTCAAGAAGTTTGTGGACATTCTTGATCAGCTCCATATCAATGTACCTCTCTTGGAAGCTATTGAACAGATGCCAATGTATGCCAAATTTCTGAAGGAAACCTGTACCAAGAAGAGGAAAGTAGAGACTGTTACCACGACAACAGAATTTTGTTCTTCATTGAGTAAGTTGCCGCCAAAGCAAAATGATCCGGGAAGCTTCATTATTCCTTGTTCGATTGGAGCTAATTTCATTGGAAAGGCACTGTGTGATCTTGGCTCAAGTGTCAACTTAATGCCAAAATCTATATTCTTGAAGCTTGGCATAGGAGATGCAAGACCCACCTCGGTTATTTTACAACTTGCCGACAGATCTCATGTTAAACCTGAAGGGAGAGTCGATGATGTCATAGTGAGGGTGGATAAGTTTGTGTTTCCAGTCGACTTCTTAATTTTGGACTGCGAAGTTGATGCCAAGGAACCTATTATTCTGGGAAGACCTTTCTAGCCACTGGACATATATTGATAAACTGTGAAAGAGGTGAACTCACCATGAGAGTGGCCGATCAGTTTGTGACTGTCAATATGTTTCGAACGCTCAAATATGTTGATGACAATGAAGAATTCCAAGGCATTTCTGAATTGAACTCAGTGATTGAAGAAGAAACTAAACATCTTTGCCATAACAATTTCATTCAGCTAGCAGAAAAGGAATATTTGGTGGATGATGAAAGCTTAATGGAGTCTGACGACTTTCCAATTTTGGAGGAGCAATCTAGCTTACTACAAGCTAGATCAGGTATGAATTTTGAACCTCTAAATTTTGATGAATTTATTCCTCCTAAGCCTTCATTATTGCATGCACCAACTTTAGAGCTTAAGACTTTGCCAGGGCATCTTAAATATGTTTACTTAGGTGGCAATGAGACTTTACCGGTGATTATTTCCGCTAACCTTACTGCTAATCAAGAGCAAAGTT